TCTTTTCTCACAGGGGTGGAAGGAGAAGAAGCAGAAGTCCTGACAGGAGACGGCGCTGAGTGACAGTTTTACCCCCACTTTCCTTAGTTTTCCTTCTTCGTTTTACGTTGGTTTTGGTATATTAAATGTCCTACTTAACCTTTTATGGGTTTTTGTATTTTTTATGCAGGAGAATGCTCCCGGTAGTCTGTGTGCGCGAAGTGGTGGAAATCGGAATTAAAAGCTGAAGTTTATTTGTAACTTGTTGTGCAGCAGTTTTAATCTCATCCTTACTGTGTGTGGATGGCGAGTGGAGGTGTTAATTAGGTGATGTGTGAATACAAGAGGCTACAATTTGTACAAAATGCAGTAGCTACATCACATGCATCTAGTTTCCTCAACGTGCCACTGATGACTGTCCCCTCGCTGATTACTAGTGACTTCCAGTGCATCAAGGAGAGCATGCTTTGCCAACTTGGATCAAAGAGGGAACAGCTTTTATTCCTCTCTTCATGTCTGCCATCTGTGAGAAATCTTAAATGGGGGTGGTGTTACAATAAGGAATTGGGACTGGGCTACAAATATTTCCCATCTAATTTTTTACTGCCTTAACTAAGGTTGAAATGAGGGTTGTGTTCGTAGTGTGTGAACTGAAGCATCTTAGTTTTCGGTCAGGATCGATATTGAAAATTGTTCTGCCAATGGATGGGAATGCCTTCTGACTTTGACATTGCCTGTGTCCGAGAGTGTGGTCATTCATTAGACTGGGGGTTTCTGATATTCTGGTAGTATTTGCTATTTTTAAATCAGTACATTGAGACTTTTATTTTGACGTTTTTAAGCGCATTCATTTTCAATGAAAGCTGAAGAACTGTTGTATACATTTTTCCAAAATGCTTTATTTTGTTGCCTCCTGCTTTATGTGAAATGTTTTTTCAACACTTTTTATAATTTCAGTATGAAAAGGTATTTCCATGTAGAGATTATGGAAAATGTGTATAGCACACTGTGTAACCTGCTCATTTTACATTGTCAACAATAAAGGAATTTATATAGTGATTTGGTGTTTCCCTTCTAAGGAGTATTATGGAGAAGTTATACTGTAAGCCTTGCTTTCATTTATAAATGGCAGAAGTAAAACTGCACTATAGTTTGCTTTAATATTGTGTACAGTGAATCAGTGCAATAGCATTCATGCAGGTCTTCTGAAAAATGAATTAACACTGTTCACGTTTTTAAGAGCAATGCTTAACAGGAAAAATCTGATATCCGGGACATAATGAATTTCATATACAATGTAGTCTAACAAGGTTTTTTTTTTGTCATCTTCAAGATAAAACATTGAGGTTGTGGGACCGATTTTGATCATTTTTTTTGTGTTGTAGTTGAGATTTTAGTGTTTGCAGGTTTTGTCCAGCAGGGGGCATTAAAATACAGCACTTAAAATGCAGACACACAAACGTGATTTATTTTTGGAAGTGGTCAACTCCAAAGTTCAAGACGTTCTCTGTTAGCTGCTTAGCATTAATTTGCCAGGTCTTTTTTTAGGCTCTCTCCTCTGTCCTAAATTGTTCCCAACAATGTGTGAATTGCTGCAAGCAGCCTTGTGCCGTTATATCGCAACCAATGGTTCTGCAGCAGACACTCTCTTAACTGTTCTGTGGGTTGCCAGGAAACTGTAATTGCATGACAATCCATAAAGAGACTATTTAACAACTTGCTTAGTGGATTTAGTTTAAACACCAAATGATTTTCATTCTCGTATGTGTAACACCAACATATTCTGAAGCATTGCTGTCTAAAACTAATGTGAAAAAACTAATCTATTCCAGTGTTATAATAGAGTAATGTTATGGTAGTAATGCATCTATTGATATCAGGTTGAGAGATGCTTTTAACACACTTGTACACAGTTTCATTTTGTGAAGTTGTGGAACAAATACTTCACATACACTGAACTAATACCCTGCATTATTTTTTTGTTGTCAAGAAATGCTTGCCCCACACTAAGCCAATTCTCATATAAAAGAAAGTGGGAGTTACATAGGACTGCATAAGTGGTCCAGTTGAGACAAAGGGGTGACCAGGAGTTGTTCCGTTCAGGCTACGGCTCGGTGACTGTGGAGAGGCAGCACTGCTTTCTCTCAGCTGGACCACGTGAGCTGCTGACCTGTGGAACGCAGGCAGGCAGGTCCCGGCTGAGCAGTCTCTGCTTGATTCCAGGAGCACCTGACGATGGGCTGGAGTTTTCTGGCTCAATGAGGTAGTGCACGTCGACACTCTCCCAACAGATCGTCACTCTTTGACCCACTGCAAGTCTCCTGCCTCTCTGGGTTCTCATACTCCGCAAATATTTAACGACGATGGAGTCTCGACCTTGAAGAAAGATGATATACAAATTGATATGATATAGAGCAACAACTCTATTCTTGCGCAGAGGAGGAAAGAGAATTTTATGCACCAAAACCTTGATACCCAATTCGCTCGGGGAAACAAAGTCCTGTCAACGCAAGTGAGAGTGAAGAGGTTGCACATTCAAGATGACAAAGAAGCTGCACTTCATTACCAAAAGAGTGAGATTCTAAAACAAGGTTCCCTGTTCCCCAGTTAAAGCAGATTCCCTTGGATTAATACAGCAGTGTAAACAGAATATATCCTCCTGTTTGCTGCCTTGCTCACGATTTTAACGCAGCCTTGCGGGTGTCTGCAAAAATAGTTCAGAAAGTAAAAACAGAATGGAAATCAGATAAACACAAACAGGTGTTAAGTCAGGAATTCTAGGGTCAGAAATAAGTGATTGTAAAAAAACTACAATAAACGAGCACTTGTTTTCCAGTGACATAAGCTCTCAGAGTTTTTACAGTTTTAGTTACTGAACATCAAAGGCAGATTTTAATGTAACAAATTCACAAAGTCCCGAGTAAAGCGACAAGTCTTGTTTGCAGCAGGTGCACTGACGTTATTGAGCAGACGCTATATGGGTGAATTCATTATCCTGATCAACGTTTCTCCTCAGCAGGTGGTCTGCTGTGAAAGAGGTTAGGAGGGACTGCACTGCTGGAAGCAATGCAAGCTGTGCCTGTGGGACACGTGCTGTGCCCCGAGGTGCGCCGGGGGTCTTGCGAGATTCTGTCCCATTCCCTCACACAGCCTGGACCAGCACGAGGTCGTGCACGATGCCTGCTCTCCGAGACGACACCCTGCTCACCTTCCGGTTTTTCAGATTTTATGCAGTCTGGCACATTTTCAGCAGTGTTACAAGATCAGTGTGAGGGTGTGTGCTGTCCTGCTGGGATTTTGGAAAGTCATGATGAGTCTGCAGGACAAGTGAGCTTCCGGGACCTGAACGATGTAGCAGCGCAGGCAGGGGGAGCTCCAGTGTGTCTAGGCCCGGGATGGGCAGTTCTGGTCCCGGAGGCTTGGTGTTTTGGCAGGCTGTATAGTCAGCACTTGTAGAGCTGGGCGAAGTTGCGAAACTGGTCCAACTGTTACTGGGCAGCGGAGCACTTTTAGCAACAGACTGCTCCAGCTACAGTGATCAAGGGAAC